GGTGGGGGGTGTGAGGTGGTGGTGGGGGGGGTGGTGGTGGTGGTGTAGGGGTGGTGTGGTGGTGGTGAGATGGGGGTATGGGGAGGCGTTTGGGGTTTGGGGGTGGGGGCGGGGTGGGGGTGGGGTGTGGGGGGTGGGTGGGGGTGGGGGGGGGGGTGGGGTGGTGGTGATGGTGGGTAGTGGGGAAAAGGCGTTGGTGATGGTGGGTGGCGGTGATGGTGGTGGGTGTTGGTGGGGGTGGTGGTGGTGGGGGTGGGGGTGGTGTGGTGGGGGGGTTGGGTTTTGGGGTTTGGGGGGGTGGGGGTGATGGTGGGGGGTGATTTGGGGGTGGTGGGGTGGGGGTGGGGTGGTGGGGGGGGGGTGGGGGGTGGTGGGGTGGGGGGTGGTGGGGTGGTGGTGGGGGGGTGTGGGTGGTGGTTGGGGGTGGGGGGGGGGGTGGGGTGGGGTGGTGGGGTGATGGGTGGGGGTGTGGGGTGGTGGTGTGGTGGTGGTGTGGGTGGGGGTGGTGGTGTGTGGTGGTGGTGGTGGGGGTGGGGGTGGTGGTGATGGTGTGGGGTGGGGGTGATGGGGGTGGGGGGGGTGGGGTGGGGGTTGGGGGTGGTGTGGGGGGGTATGGGGTTTGGTGATGGGGGGGTGAGGGGGGTGGGGATGGTGGTGATGGTAGGGGGTGTGAGGTGGGGGGGGTGGTGGTGTGGGGGTGGTGGGGGGGGGTGGGGGGTGGTGGGGTGGTGGTGGGGGTGGGGTGGTTGGGGGAGGTGGTGGTGGTGGGGTGGTGGTGCTGGCGAAAGTGGTGATGGTGGGGTTTGGGGGTGGTGATGGGGGTGTGGGGATGGGGGTGGGGGGATGGTGTGTTGTGGGGGTGGGTGGGGGTTTTGGGGGGGTTGGTGGGGTGGGGTGGGGGGGTGGGGTGATGGTGGTGGGGGGTGGGGTGATGGGGTATGGTGTGGGGGGGTTGGTGGTGGGGGGTGGGGTTTGTGTGGTGGTGGGGGTGGGGTGGTGGTGGTGTGGGGGTGGTGGGGTGGTGGGTTGGGTGGTGGTGGGGTGGGGGGTGGTGGGGTGGGGGTGGTGGGGGGGTGGGGGTGGTGTGGTGTGGTTTGGGTTGGGGTGTGGTGGGGGTGATGGGGTGGTGGTGGGTGGGGGTATGGGGGGGGCAGAGAACAGGGGTATTCCACATAAGTGACCCCCTGTGGCCTGGGACTAAAGCTCTCGTTTTCACAGGGAAGGCCCGGGGTTTCGTTTCGGGGCGGGGGAAAAACTTTGGGGCTGGTTCTTGACACCGTTTTCTATGTTTTCCATCAGTAAAAGAGACCTGGGGGTTATGGCGGGTGGTCGCATCCTGGGGCAAAAAGACCTAATTTGCCCCAAATGCCTGCTAACAAGCGGGTTTCTATAATAGTATTCCTTGTCACTAGGACTGTTCCACCTTTTACATGTATTAAATAAATATTGTTATTTAAAATTTTTTTTTATAAAAAGAGGTATCGGCATAAGTGACCGTACTAAGAGGAGAGAGAGAGAGAGAGGAAGAAGAGAGAGGAGAAAAAGAGAAGAGAGAGAGATCTCAAGTATACCATTCCTAGTAACCGTTACCGTAACCATGTACCAGTAGTAATCCCCCTACTGGTGATCTTTTACTAACATCGGGGATAACAAAATCTTTTTTAACCCGGACTTGTTACAAGGGTTTTGGCCAAATCCCTCTTCACGGGACACCCAAAAGCTAACTGCATTCTCCACTCCCCACAGGTCTTATCACTTCCTCCGTATGGCGTTGGTTTAAATCCTCCCCTATCACTTCTCAAGGGTCATGAAAAATATCTTTAAGGTCCAAGGGAAAGCACTTATGGTGTACTTAATGAGTAATCGTCATGTCTAAAAACTGGAAACACACTTTAAAAGACTTGAATAGTACTTGGGAAACTTTAAGAAGCCCCAATTTTAAAAACAAACGTCTAAATGCAATTTTCAGATTAGAAAAAAAGTTTCTTTGGGGCACGTAGCACTCCAAGGGGTTTACCTGACCAAAGTAAAGTAACTGCAGTACTAAATTTTCCAACTCCCAAAACTGCTGATGCCGTAAGATCCTTTGTGGGCTTAGCAGGTTTTTATAGATCTTTCATTGCCAATTTTTTTTACCATAGCTGCTCCTTTAACCTGAGTTGCTTAAGAAAGATGCTCCTTTTGTTTGGACCTTCCATCAAGAAAGAGCATTCCAAACTCTAAAAGAAAATTTCCAGATTTTTCTAAGCCCTTCTATCTGACAACTGATGCTAGTTCTATTGGCATAGGTGCTGTACTAGCTCAAAGACTGATGGCAAGTACAACGCAGTTGCATTTGCTAGCCGAGTCCTTACGAAGGCTGAACGTAATTATACAGTAACTGAGCAAGAAGCTTTAGCAATAGTATGGTCTTTAAAGCACTTCTGAGACATTATTTATCAGTACTCTGTTCATGTTTTGACAACCACGCTCCACTGATCCCTTTTAAATTCCAGAACAAACAACCTACGGGAAGGGTTTAGCCAAGGGAAACCTTGACTACCAAAGTTCAATCCCACCTTTGAACACTTACCTGGCAAGTCAAATGTATTGCAGATGCCTTATCGCGACATTTAGTATAGTAAACTGCAGACCCTCCATTTAGTGCTGAAGATGTAAAAATGCCAACGAACAGATCCCATGTGGTCTGGTGTGATTCGATTCCTGCTCCAGGAAGATCTTATTCTGACTGTGAAGCCACCAGCACCCATCAGTGATTTTGTCAATGAACCAAGAATTACGTATCGAACAGCCGATTTTGGTACTCCTAGCAGAAGAGTTTACCATTATAATTCCACAGTCACTAGTGAATGTAGCCTTACAGCTAGTCACGATGTACCAGGGTGTTGCGCACCCTGGTATGGATCGTTCAGTAAAACAAGCCAATTGAAAATACTTTTTGGCCTCGTATGGCAACTGATATTTCTGAGTATGTTAAGAAATGTAGTGTCTGCATGCAACAAAAAGGGTAATGCAAATGGTCCTAATCCAATCCAAGTGTATCCAACTACTAGCGAACCGGGGGAAAGTTGCGCTAGATTTGTTAACAATTTTAAATGTTCCCTCCAAGGCAACAAACATCTGTGTGTTATGGTAGACCATTTCACCAATATGGTGAGTTAGTTCCTATTGCAGATAAGACTGCCGAGACAGTAGCTAAAGCGTTTAAAGAATCATTATCTGCAGGCATACCACCCCTAAGTCCCTAGTAACAATAATGGAGGTGAATTCTGTAATGAGATTCTTGAAAATTTGTGCACCTTGTACAAGATCTCAAAAATCCACCATTGTTCCTCATCATCCTGCCAGCAATGGTTAGCAGAAAGTACCAATAAGAAAGTACTTGATGTCTTGAAGCCACTATCAATCCCAACAGGGGAAATTTGGGATGAATTATACCTGATGTGCAGTGTGCTATAAATTCTGCTTACAATGTTTCTAAAAGGTGACACTCCACATTATTGCAATGTATGGTATAGATAAACGTTTTGCCTTATGAGCTGCTATTTTCTAATCCGAAACCAAATTACAACCCTGATGATTTCATAGCAACTCGTACCAGTTTAGCTCAAAGTGTCTTAGAAGAATCTGTGAAACACTTCAAAATCAACAGCAGAATTTACAAGAGTCCCCAAACACTCGAGCAAAGCCATCCAAAATCAAAGTAGGTTCGAGAGTTATGCTGACTAACTTTAACAAAACGTCTGCAGTGCCTAAGCTTGATCAAAAATTGTTGGTCCTTACGAGTAGTTGAACAATCACTGGTAATAAGTATAAGGTTAGAGAAATTAGTACTGGTCAGTATAAAAATCGCATTTAGATCGTATGAAGTAGTATGTGATGATAATGATGTTCCAACCCAGACTAATGTGACAGACTCTGACAATCCTACTGATCCTGTACTCTCTCCCTCTGAAACTCAGTCAGACGATCAACCTGAATGTCGTTTTTCCCTACGTAACACGACAGGTATTAGAAAAACCTCAAGTATCATTTGTAACTACCAATCAGATTTGCCTCAAATACAGCATGAGTTAGCCAGTGCAACAGAGTTTGATCCTCCCAGAGATGCACCCATTCTGCATATATCAATCTCACCCTAGCAGAGTTGTGGTTAAATGTAAATAACCTGTATAGATGAATAATTTCAGTATCAACTTATCATATTCAAGATTTTTTTTTTTGTGTTCACGTTTCTCTCCCCAATTCTGAGAGTTAACAGTCTAGATTTGAGTGCACCGAATCTGCTTCTGTTAAACACTTCTTTCTTTGTATATATTTCCTTCCTCAGAATCCATAGATCACATGAATAAAGAAACGATCGATCAAATTTTTTTTATCACTTTCTATTGTGTAATCTCAACGTTGAGTCTCATTCGATGAGTTGTGCTATATTATACCTTGTATTGCATTACAGTTTCAGTTACGTAAGCTTCCATTCCAATATTCTACTTTTGTATGTTTATAAAAGTTTAATTTTTGGTACTTTGACATTGTATAGAATTAGCCCAAGCCGTATACCTGCCGTCTCTAGTTTGTATTAGTTGTATGTCGGGACGACATACGTTAGTGTTGCCGAGCTCTCAGTAGTAGTACCAGTTCCTAGTAACCAGTTACCAGTAACCAGTGTACCAGTAGATGACTCACTACCAACCGTCTGTGTGAATCATTGACTGTATTCATATTGCTGCTGACCATAGCAGGATTTCAAACACCCTCACCCGTAGGCACTCATGGGTCAGTCAAGATAGGGGGCAGAGAGGCAGGTCGGCTGTTGGTGCCTTCCCACACTTTCCGTTATATTATACGTACTACCAGCCTACGTGAGTATTCTTACCCCATCCACGTTTTCGAAAACCCACATGACAGAGAGAGTTCTCTTAACTCACATCATTAGACACATGGACACAGACGTGGCGACGTACAATGAAATGCGCACCGACGTACAGCAATAGACGTACCTTCAGCTGCTTGGCGTCGCCCACCGTCACAGTCAGACGCTGAAGATTATCATTGTAGCAGAGAGAGACGTCGAGCTGCCCCAGCTCTCTGGGACTCAAGCTCACCTCCCTCTCCAGGTCCTGCCGCAGCAGCCGCTTACCCTCCAGCGGATGCAGCTCCTGGACCCAAATCCAGGAGAGTTATACACATGAGAAAAGTGCTAAGCCCATACGGGGCCATGTGCCGCCCCGGGAATGGATGACAATTCAGGTTAGATCTGAGGACGGGAATGGTAGCCACCATTCCTTCTATTTTGTTGCTACTTTCATTATCGTAAGAAATAATTATATTGTTTTGTGTATCTGTATAATTTCCCCTACTCATCTCCCTATCCCTGGTATAATTTGGTAAATTATGAAATGATTAATGGATTTTAAAGCTGCTTGACTAAGTCGGAGTGTAACCTTCCACAAACACACACACACAAGTAGCACCGTGGCTTCTAGCAGCAACACGCCGACATACATAGTCACATACATACTCACATACACACAAGGGACAAAGTAGACTTTAGAATCGGTCGTAGGAGGAAAAGTGCACTTGTGTACATGGAGGTTCATTTATTCTGGTGAAGCATCCATGAAACCCGCAACAATACAGATTCATGCCCCACCACGCTTGTTTACCAGAGAATGTTATGCTTGGAATTAAGTGAAGGTTGGGTGTATCCTATGTGGGAAAGGGAGAAAGAGAGAGAGAGAGAGAGAGAGAGAGAGAGAGAGAGAGAGAGAGAGAGAGAGAGAGAGAGAGAGAGAGAGAGAGATACACAGATTGTACCTAGTTCAGCTATCAAAACTTTGGGGCCCAGTCCCTGGACCCATTATGTACCTCTATAATCTTTTGACTACCGCCCACAGGATGGGTATGGGGTGCATAATACACATATTAAACTGAAACTAACTATGGACCGACAGAGATACATCTCACCTTGAGCAGGAAGAGAACATGACCAATAACAACGTGCTTTTTATCTCTGTCCACGTCATAGAAGGTCAGTTTGAGCGCCCTTTCTTCCAGCTCCTTAGCTGTTATCTGTGGAGATAAGTGACGTTAGTGGCAGTTGGTGCTTGTAGTGAGTAGTGTTAGTGGCAGTTGGTGCTTGTAGTGGGTAGTGTTAGTGGCAGATGGTGCTTGTGGTGGGTAGTGTTAGTGGCGAGTAGAATTATTGGCAGATGATGCTTATTCCTTGGGTAGCATTGAAAATGGGTTGGGCATATGTTTTTTTTAATGAGTTCGTATGGGCCAGTAGGCCTGCTGCAGTGTTCATCCTCTCTTATATTCTTATATATGACAACGTACACATTACGTAGCGGTGAGTTCCTGGACGAAGATTGGAATACAACACTCATAGTGTACTCACCTCACACTTCATCCATGACTGCAAAAAAAAATGAAAACGAATTCTTTCTACTCCCAAAGAAAACAACTGCGACAGACACCTCGTCTTTCCCACAAGGACCCCAGAGGACCTCGTCATCTAATAGTTGTGTGACGTGGTAACAAGGAATCAGCTTGGAGTAGCATCATAATATACGTACAAACGTGGATGAAAAAGTGTACTTGGCAGCTCTCTCTTCTATGGTGTTGGAAGTAGCAATTAAGGATACTTCAGTACAGTGGCGTCTATCAAGGTTGGATTCTCTGTGGATCAGTTTTTCTTTTTTTCCAGTTCATGAGATGTCCGTCTTTAGATCTATGCAAGACACACCCATTTTTTTTTTTGGTGTTGTCTCTGTGTACATTTTTGTATTCTCAGACCCGTGTAGAAAGTTTCTTCCTTGATTCTTCTATACAGATCTTGTTGCATCCTCTGCAAGGTAACGTGTCCACTCCTACTTCACTGGTTTCTCAAAGGAATGTTTCTCTCTGGTGGGGTTTCTGATGGAACACATGGCCATCGTAGCTATGCAGATGTTGCTTCTGGAGAGGGCCTCACCTCCACCTTCGACTCTGCAATGGATCTGTCAAATACACCTCCATTACCCCAATACAACTTCACCCAAGATTTTTGTGCAACAGCTCATTGAAGACTTCGACAACTCTGTATAATTCACATACTTAACAAAAGAAGTGTTAAAAAGCTTTAAGAATGGGTTGTTCGAAATAAGATAGTAAACAGATCTCATGAACTTCGCCAGTCAGCTGTACCCAGCCTGAATGCTGCAGACCTTCACCGCCAAGTACTCCGCTGCTGGGTTATGGAAGCCACCTTACCTGGAGTTTACCTGGAGAGAGTTCCGGGGGTCAACGCCCCCGCGGCCCGGTCTGTGACCAGGCCTTCTGGTGGATCAGAGCCTGATCAACCAGGCTGTTGCTGCTGGCTGCACGCAAACCAACGTACGAGCCACAGCCCGGCTGGTCAGGAACCGACTTTAGGTGCTTGTCCAGTGCCAGCTTGAAGACTGCCAGGGGTCTGTTGGTAATCCCCCTTATGTATGCTGGGAGGCAGTTAAACAGTCTCGGGCCCCTGACACTTATTGTATGGTCTCTTAACGTGCTAGTGACACCCCTGCTTTTCATTGGGGGGATGTTGCATCGTCTACCAAGTCTTTTGCTTTCGTAGTGAGTGATTTTCGTGTGCAAGTTCGGTACTAGTCCCTCTAGGATTTTCCAGGTGTATATAATCATGTATCTCTCCCGCCTGCGTTCCAGGGAATACAGGTTAAGGAACCTCAAGCGCTCCCAGTATTTGAGGTGTTTTATCTCTGTTATGCGCGCCGTGAAGGTTCTCTGTACATTTTCTAGGTCAGCAATTTCACCTGCCTTGAAAGGTGCTGTTAGTGTGCAGCAATATTCCAGCCTAGATAGAACAAGTGACCTGAAGAGTGTCATCATGGGCTTGGCCTCCCTAGTTTTGAAGGTTCTCATTATCCATCCTGTCATTTTTCTAGCAGATGCGATTGATACAATGTTATGGTCTTTGAAGGTGAGATCCTCCGACATGATCACTCCCAGGTCTTTGACGTTGGTGTTTTGCTCTATTTTGTGGCCAGAATTTGTTTTGTACTCTGATGAAGATTTAATTTCCTCGTGTTTACCATATCTGAGTAATTGAAATTTCTCATCGTTGAACTTCATATTGTTTTCTGCAGCCCACTGAAAGATTTGGTTGATGTCCGCCTGGAGCCTTGCAGTGTCTGCAATGGAAGACACTGTCATGCAGATTCGGGTGTCATCTGCAAAGGAAGACACGGTGCTGTGGCTGACATCCTTGTCTATGTCCGATATGAGGATGAGGAACAAGATAGGAGTGAGTACTGTGCCTTGTGGAACAGAGCTTTTCACCGTAGCTGCCTCGGACTTTACTCTGTTGACGACTACTCTCTGTGTTCTGTTAGTGAGGAAATTATAGATCCATTGACCGACTTTTCCTGTTATTCCTTTAGCACGCATTTTGTGCGCTATTACGCCATGGTCACACTTGTCGAAGGCTTTTGCAAAGTCTGTATATATTACATCTGCATTCTTTTTGTCTTCTAGTGCATTTAGGACCTTGTCGTAGTGATCCAATAGTTGAGACAGACAGGAGCGACCTGTTCTAAACCCATGTTGCCCTGGGTTGTGTAACTGATGGGTTTCTAGATGGGTGGTGATCTTGCTTCTTAGGACCCTTTCAAAGATTTTTATGATATGGGATGTTAGTGCTATCGGTCTGTAGTTCTTTGCTGTTGCTTTACTGCCCCCTTTGTGGAGTGGGGCTATGTTGTTTTTAGTAACTGTGGGACGACCCCCGTGTCCATGCTCCCTCTCCATAGGATGGAAAAGGCTCGTGATAGGGGCTTCTTGCAGTTCTTGATGAACACGGAGTTCCATGAGTCTGGCTTTGGGGCAGAGTGCATGGGCATGTCAATCTTAAACACTTCAATCTTAAACACTTCCTGTAATAAAACCACCCACAACAGTAGGATTCGTAGTAATTATCCTGTTGTGAATCTTCAGGTCAAGACAGGAGGCTGGACAACATGGAATGAAGCTGAGGATTAAGCTCCTGGCTCTCTTTCTACGACTGACGACACTCCTCTCCGGCGCTATTCTTCGCCTTTTCTCACGTCCTCGCTCTCTCCTTACCTGAGTAAGTTGCTTATGCTTCAGATTCATCAGTCCAACGGTACTAAACATCTGCTGCTAGGCTGAGGGACTGATTACCTCATCTTCTACCTCTTCAGTCTTCTGTTTTTGTCCTTGTATTTTACTGATAAAGCCACTGGTGGGCGAATCATCTACATATTGAAGATACTCAGTTATTGTATATGTGATCTTTTCTTGGGTTATCTTGAAGTTATTAATATTGCAGGGTTATTATCCTTCGGGGAGGATTGAGAACAAGAAAAGCATCTTATATGATGGCCTTTTAATCCAAGGAATTGGAGCTACCCTCCTTTTCCTAGGATCAAACCTGGTTGCCTATCACTCCCTCAGGCGTTGTATGACACCCATGTCTGCAGTACTGCCTACAACAATAATACTAGAGTTAAAATAATAATAATAACAGCAATAATAATAAAAATAATAATAATAATAATAATAATAACAACAACAACAACAATAATAATAATAATAATAATAATAATAATAATAATAATAATAATAATAATAATAATAATAATAATAATAATAATAATAATAATAATAATAATATCAACAATACTACTAATAATATTCAATAATAACAATAATAATAACTTTCATCTTTCAAGAAAGGCAGGGTATCTGGTGCTGGTGAAGGGCTCTTGATCCAAGCAACTGGAATTACCCTTCCAGTTCCTCGGCGGTCACAGCTCATTACCTCCCACTCCCCCAGGATTCAGCACCCCCCTCTCCCCGCTTTTTCATCAACACAAAAGTCACTCGATAAACTTGTCGTGGTGACGGCGGACGGAGGTACGATCCCTCACTACTTCCTACAAGACCGAACTACCCCACACAGACGGAGGTTCGAGCTCTTCGCTGTTCCATTTCTTACCTGGAAGACAAAGGTCTCATCGAACCTGGGGTTGCAAGTCTTCTTACGTATTTTGGTCTGTAGGTAACGTCTCTCATCAGGTATCAGGAACAACCTGAAGGAACAACACTAAGTTACCACATTACATAAAAAATTGCAACACACACACACACACACACACGCACACACACACACACACACACACACACACACACACACACACACACACACACACACACACACAACACACACACACACACACACACACACACACACACACACACACACACACACACACACACACACACACACACACGCACACACACACAGACACACTGTTACAAAAAACGCGATTCTAAAAGCTTAGAGATCTCCAGTGAATACTAGAAAGGACTGCCCTTCTAGCATCCAGCCTGTTACTGGGTTTTCGTAACAAGTAGTCAGTATCCTTGTCCAATTATCCATCAGAATTCAGTATGATTCAATAGTGCTTCAGGATTACAACTGGTAGGCTACTAACTAGAGAAATTAAAATTTAATAAATTTATTAATTAAGTTGTCTAGGCGTATATCAAATTAAATTAAATTAAATTAATCACAGTAATCAAAATAATATTAATCACTTCTCTCGTGTACAGTATTATTGTGCTGAAAGCACATATCACATTTATAATTCTTAAGTACCGTCTGGTACATTAATTAACATTTAATAAGATATTACAAATATGTACAAGTAAGTTTGTGTGTATGTGTGTAAGTGCTCTAAGTAGTTCGCTATGTCTCACGACTCGACTAGACTTAAACAAGTGACTGACAAAGTCCTCAAATAAACTAACTTCTTGACCAACTGGCAGTCAGAACAGTCTGCTTGAACAATAAAAAGAATGCTAAGCCCAATAGCAATATAATAAGCAACTGCAACACAGAATCAGGAACAAGGAGATAATATAACGACAGCTAGTAGGGACCATCTGCCGATCCTTCACAAAAGTCACCAAACTCCCATACTACTGAATCTAAGTTCAGCATAAGAAAATACCCGACTGTGACAATACACAGATACCAGTACAAATTAGGTCAGAAGCTACAGCTCAGGACCTGAGTTACTCAGAGTGTCTATGCGACACACAACCTCAGTACAACGTCGAAAATCACTAAGTCTATACAATGTTCTGTGAACAGAGTCTCCAGAACTATCAAGAATAATGAGACAAGAGACGATCTTCCAACAAGGGCCAATAAGGAAGAGTTAGGCACTTGTCAGGAATACGTCCAACCACCAAGAGAGTCTAGACCAGACTGAATACTGAATACTTCAGGCGAGGTGAGGACACCCCCCCCCTCGATCACGTGATAGCTCTGTGGACAGCTGCAGCTCAGCAACAGAAGCCAGCAGAATAACGAGCAAAGAGCGATAATTACAGTAGTTAGACAATCAAGACTTGAACTATGAGCACATAATATATTACATCCTACCTAACAAAATTTAACTAAGTCAAATAATAATATAAAGCAATACATTTACGATTTAGCTATTATCGCAAATATAAGGAAATAAATGGTATAAAATACCGACACAATGGAAATATAAACACAAATGCAGTATAATGTGATCCTTTATTGACAACGTTTCACCCACACAGTGGGCTTTTTCAAGACAACACTCAATACAGAAGAATCCTGGAATCATCGCTCATCTCTACAACCAACAATTTCAACCAGAACAATGGCTTCTATAACATAGCTGAACCACTCGCCAAGAAACTTCTTCATCGCTATCCCACATAAGAACATAGAACACTGCAGAAGGTCTACTCACAACTTGTCCAATACCCCTGCCAAGCTACCCAAGACTCTATAACCCCACCCGGTAGATCATCAGATGCAGCATTCTCCACCTGACCTCAACATTCTGAACATGACTATAAATACTCTCGTACCTTCCAACCCCAGGTAGATCCGTGTGTGACTTGAAAAAGCCCACTGTGTGGGTGAAACGTTGTCAATAAAGGATCACATTATACTGCATTTGTGTTTATATTTCCATCGCAAATATAAGCAATATAAAATTATATCAAAAGGTAATAATTATATATATACATATTAATCATTGCAACCCATTCAGGGGTTGCAACACACACACACACACACACACACATAAGGAATCATTCAGGACCCTGTACACCGTGTACGTTAGGCCCATATTGGAGTATGCGGCACCAGTTTGGAACCCACACCTAGCCAAGCACGTCAAGAAACTAGAGAAAGTGCAAAGGTTTGCAACAAGACTAGTCCCAGAGCTAAGAGGTATGTCCTACGAGGAGAGGTTAAGGGAAATCAACCTGACGACACTGGAGGACAGGAGAGATAGGGGGGACATGATAACGACATACAAAATACTGAGAGGAACTGACAAGGTGGACAAAGACAGGATGTTCCAGAGATTGGACACAGTAACAAGGGGACACAGTTGGAAGCTGAAGACACAGATGAATCACAGGGATGTTAGGAAGTATTTCTTCAGCCACAGAGTAGTCAGTAAGTGGAATAGTTTGGGAAGCAATGTAGTGGAGGCAGGATCCATACATAGCTTTAAGCAGAGGTATGATAAAGCTCACGGCTCAGGGAGAGTGACCTAGTAGCGATCAGTGAAGAGGCGGGGCCAGGAGCTCGGACTCGACCCCCGCAACCTCAACTAGGTGAGTACAACTAGGTGAGTACACACACACACACACACACACACACACACACACACACACACACCACACACACACATACACACACATACACACACAACACACACACACACACACACACACACACACACACACACACACCACACACATACACACACATACACACACACACACACACACACACCACACACACACACACATACACACACACACACACACACACACACACACACACACACACACACACACACACACACACACACACACACACACACACACACACAAGGGGAGGTCGTGGCTGTTGTCAGAACTTTATCGATTAAAAACAAAGTTGTGCTAACTTTAACAAAATAAAAAACTTTATTTTAAGCTTTAAACTATTTTATTTTGTTTCTCGAAGCGAAAGTTAGGAGAAGTTAGCGTAGAGAGAGAGAGAGAGAGAGAGAGAGAGAGAGAGAGGAGAGAGAGAGTGAGAGAGAGAGAGAGAGAGAGTGAGAGAGAGAAGATGAGAGAAAGAATGAGAGAGTGAGAGAAAAAATGAGAGAGAGAGAAACAGTGAGAGAGAGAAATGAGAAATTAATCCACTTTTTTTTAGCAAAAGCTCTCAGAGGAAAATGAATTTATGCCCTTAATCCATTCTTTTTGGAAGTAGGGAGAGAGAGAGAGAGAGAGAGAGAGAGAGAGAGAGAGAGAGGAGAGAGAGAGAGATGTAAGAGGAGAGCTGGGGTAGCTGGGGTTGTTAGGAGAGCTGAGGTGGCTGGCAGGGTTGCTAGGAGAGCCGGAGTGGCTGGTTGGGGTTGCTAGGAGAGCCGGAGTGGCTGGTTGGGGTTGCTAGGAGAGCCGGAGTGGATGGTTGGGGTTGCTAGGAGAGCCGAGGTGGCTGGTTGGGGTTGCTAGGAGAGCCGGAGTGGCTGGTTGGGGTTGCTAGGAGAGCCGGAGTGGCTGGTTGGGGTTGCTAGGAGAGCCGGAGTGGCTGGTTGGGGTTGCTAGGAGAGCCGAGGTGGTTGGTTGGGGTTGCTAGGAGAGCCGAGGTGGCTGGTTGGGGTTGCTAGGAGAGCCGAGGTGGCTGGTTGGGGTTGCTAGGAGAGCCGAGGTGGCTGGTTGGGGTTGCTAGGAGAGCGGAGGTGGCTGGCTGGGGTTGCTAGATCTGAGGTGGCTGGCAGGGGTTGTTGACCTTGGGTAGGGTGGGTGGCGTGGTGGGTCACCCCTGACAGTTGCCAGGCGCCCCTATCTATGATTGACGACCTGTCACAGTGCTTGGCTACACACACACACACACACACACACACACACACACACACACACACACACACACACACACACACACACACACACAAGAGGTCACAATTGGAAGTTGAAGACTCAGATGAATCAAAGGGATGTTAGGAAGCATTTCTTCAGTCATAGAGTAGTCAGGCCGTGGAATAGCCTAGAAAGTGACGTAGTGGAGGCGGGAACCATACATAGTTTTAAGGCGAGGTATGATAAAGCTCATGGAGCAGGGAGAGAGAGGACCTTGTAGCAATCAGCGAAGAGGCGGGGCCAGGAGCTATGACTCGACCCCTGCAACCACAAATAGGTGAGTACAAATAGGTGAATACACACACACACACACACACACACACACACACACACACACACACACACACACACACACACAACTTCCTATAGAAGCCTCCCAACCAGGTCAACCCCAGTGAAACCAAACACTCTAAATCAAAGCACCCATGCCACATCCAATGCCCCCACCCACTACATGACAAACTCCACCCCCACAGCAACAACCCATAGTTCCTTACCAGGTCTCCCACTTCCCCAACCCCAATATACCTCCCAGACCACAGTCTTAGAAAAGAAGTTGAAGGTGTGGTATACAAATGCAGATGGAATAACAAACAAGTATGAGGAGTATCACGAAAGAATCAAAGAGACATCCCCAGACATAATAGCACTCACAGAAACAAAACTCATCAGAATAATAACAGATTCAATCTTTCCATCCGGATATCAAATCCTCAGGAAAGACAGAGGGAGGAGAGGGGGAGGAGGAGTTGCACTGCTCATTAAAAACCAGTGGGGTTTTGAGAAAATGGAAGGAATGGATGGCACGGGCGAAAGGGACTACTTAGTAGGAACAATCCAGTCTGAGGGACATAAGGTGATAATTGCAGTAATGTACAACCCACCACAGAACTGTAGGAGGCCAAGAGAAGAATACGATGAGAGCAACAGAGCAATGATCGACACACTAGCCGAGGTGGCCAGGAGAGCACACATGGGGGGAGCAAAGTTACTAGTTATGGGTGATTTCAATCACAAAGGAGATTGACTGGGAAAACCTGGAGCCCCATGGGGGTCCGAAACAGGGACACCCAAGATGATGGATGTGGTACTGGAAAACCTCATGCATCAACATGTT